AATGGACTGCTCTCCTACTTGGCTGCACTTTGACCTTTGCCACGATATCTCAGAAGTTCGATAAGCGATGGGGCTGTTTGTCTGCAATTTGGCCATTAGTTGCGCTTTTCCTTTGATTTGCCGGTCGGCACAAATCCATTTGCACAAATCAAACGTGAGGCGTGTGTGGTTTTATTTAAGATTTGCAGTTAGGCGCTTACAATCTATACTTGTGGCAATCAAAGCCAGTCGAATGCATTCGCTGCTGATTTGCAATTTGTTTCGCAATTTTCAGCATGTACGTTAATTGAATTTCGCAAACAGATGAGCTGTTGATCGTTTTGTGGCCGCCATCATTTGCATTCGATTTGCATAAATAGATCCAAGCCCCCACCCGCCCCTCCCCCCTCTATCCGCTATCCCCTCCACCCATGAGTTCCCACTTGCCATTCATTCAAATGCTGCGGTCTGGAACGCGTCGACCTGATTTTCATTTTCATTGTGGAGCGCAGCCAGCTAGCGAGCACTCGACCCACTCAAGCGACAAACAAACACACTTACACATATATATATATATGTATACTATATGTAAGTATGTATATACTGGTGTGGTGTGTTTGATATTTTGTTTAGATCCGCGCGGCGTCAAAAATGCCAAACGAGATTGTCGTCGAAGGCTGCTGCGCAGGCGCGATGCAAACTCGTTTGCTGCTGAAAACGAAATTAAACGGCGGCCCAGGAGCTGCAAATGTGTCGCGTGAGCTGTTGCTTTTATTGTTGTTGTTGTTTCTGAATGCATAGTGCATTGGTTACGGGAAGAAATTTCGGAGTTATGGAAATCTAGCCAAGTCAACCAGCTTGTACAATGAAGTGCGTACTTTTTTATAGAAGAGGCGATTATCTGTTAAGTTCCACTTAGCTGTTTGTTTTATTTCATTCCAAGGGAGACAATGATTTCAATCCAAGCTCTTTCTGTTTATAGTCCGCAAAGTAATGCTAGCATTAAACTGAGTTCCGAGTGCGCCTTAGTCTCGTTGTTGATGTAACTGTAAATATATATCAAAGCTAACATTTCTGTAAACTCTCGCCGCACTCGGCAATGAAAGGCAATAATATATAGTATGTATACAACTGTCAGGACTGCAACAAGGATGTAGCCTATTTATCCTGAAATTCATATTTTTATAACCTGTACCCGTAGGGTAAAAAGGCTATATTAGGTTTGTGCAAAGTGTGTAACAGGCAGAAGGAAGCATATCCGACCCCATAAAATATATATATACTTGTATTCTGAATCAGCATCGATCTAGACATGTCCGTGGGTCCGTCTGTTTGGATGAACGCAAGGAACTCAGATACTATAAAAGCTGGAACAACCAAGGTTGGTATCCAGATTCTCCTGGGTCCGAAAAGGGATGAGTTTATTTTATTTTTTGGAATTTTGCCCCCCTCCCCCCGCTACAGAATTTCGTCAATACCGTCCACCGTACCGAGCTGACTCGACTGTAGCGTTCTCTCTTGTTAAATTCTATATAATTGCGCAGAATCAACATTTCTTGCCACTTGCTAAAGACAATAGAGTTTATAGGTTTCAAAAGTAAATATTTGTAGAAAATTGTATCCAAGGAAAAACTGTTCAAATCCTTTATTATCTCTATACGTACTTTTTGTTATTTCTATAAAACAAATCAGAAATGTGTAGACAAATCATAAGCTGCATCGGTTACGAACTGTTCTCAAATATATATTTTAAAATAGACATAGACTTTCCTCCTATTGGCTTAAACTTGCTTCAAAAATAAAAACTCATGAGCCAAACTAATTTAAATGGCTTTCATGTACAATATGAGATGCCTATTTAGCTCTATATCACATAAAATAGCTCTGAATAGCGCCAGTTGTGATAACTAGTTCTGTGAATCACAACTGTTGGCAACTATTTAATATTGTTATTAATTCGCATACCACTGACTACTATATGAATAGAGTTCAGTTAAGGGATATTGATATTGCCGATATCGGAACAATCTATTAACGGATCAAAATTAATTCAGTTAACATACATGTGTATATTCATTTTGTAAAAGTTCAAACTATTTTCTTCCACAGAAATATAGTTACACTGTAAAAAAAAATCGCATGTGAATTGTGTGTAAACAAAATCGACAGCTGCCCATCCTTTCTCTGTTGCTGACAAGACGACAGCAGTCGAGTGCCTGTCAAAATTTCCTAATTAATATGCAATTTACCTGTCAGTTGTGTTTACCTGCCGCCGCCTTTTAGCTAAGCACACAAATGCATAAAGCACGCACACATCCACATTTTACCTGCTTGGTCGCCCAGGTGTTAAGCAGCGGCAGGGCCGCTTATCAGAGGCCAGCGTCGATCGCGGTTTATTCGTCGGGCGACTGCTGCCGCGTGCAGTTGTGTTTTTCTTTGTCTCGCTTCTCTCGTTGTTGGTCGGCCACTGCGCTCCAAACTGTGTCAAGTGCTTCTCAAACTATTGTGTAAGTGTGCGCCGTTTCCTCAACATTTGTCAACATTTGTCAGAACTGTGCGCGAGCCTCCGCTTGTCTTCTTCTTTCTCTCTTTTTAAATTGCGAAATTGAAACAAGTTCTGGCTATAACGGTGTAGTTATTGCTTGCTTTTATGCATTATAAATTGGCCAATTCATTTTATTGTATAGTACGTAAGCAGGAATTATGAAGCCGCACATTGACTCATGCTGAGCCTCGTTCGTTGAGCGTCGTTCCCGCTTACGCTCAAGAATTGACCGAAAATTCTCGTTGAACTTGTGACTAATGTTGGCCAATGCGGCCGGGGCCAGAGTCTGGGCCACGGCTTTGTGAAAAATCTTTGTATAACGGTGCCGGTTACAAAGAGATCGTTATAAAAACAAAACTGACAACAACAGCGTTTCAGTTAGTTGTGCGATTGTTGTTGCTGCGATCTGCGATGATGATGGACAAAGACAATGTTTGATGAGCGCCAATTTATCAGTGGCATTCGGTGAATAGAATGCTAAGGCGCTTATATAATGCCAGCTAGTTATGATAAATGCCAAATGAGCGGCCAAACAGCTGACAAGCGAAGGTTGCACAGCTACTTAGTTGTGTTTGAAGATCTCTTCACACAGATTAAATTTGAATTAATCAAACTACACAAAAAAACTAAGCCAAGGCCTTACAACTTGGCCGCTTTGGTGCACATTTTTATGCTCTTTAAACATTAATCCACGTGCAACTTAACGTTTAAAGTCTTCAACGAAATTCTTCAAAAAATCCTCGACTCAACATTGTCAGTTCTAGGAAAAAGTGCACACGAAACCAATTTTTCCACCAACTGCAAAAAATTAACGAGTCTTTTCCTTTTAAAATGTTATCCATGATATTGGATAGGGCTTTGAAATGATGGAAACTTTTAAGGAATTTACAAAGTTTTTTAGTTTTTAAATTTAAAAGAATGTTTAAAAACTACAATTTTGCTTAAAACTATTTTACACGCATATTTCTTGTGAAATGAATCAGAACTGTTTTCCCTTAAAGTAGTGGCCAACAAAAATGAAACAACACAAGTACTATCTGCTTTGAAGTTCGTTGCACTTTTCCCAATCATTTCGAAAATCTGAAACTCACATTTGATTTACAACCACCTGCAGCCCATTTACGATTGCCATATAAATACAAATCCCATTAATATTCCAAAAGGGGAGACTCAAACTTTATCAATAAAAAAAAGTTGCCCACTGCGATACGATAATAAACGACCAACGAACTATTAAAAAATATCTCACTTTATCGCCAAAATGGTCGCCGCTCGCCTGTGTTAATAAATGGTCATGGCCCCTATTAAAGGAGAAAGTTGTGGAAAATCTCCGCCGCGCTTCCTGTGAATAGAATGCAATCGACAATTTCGTTTTTCTGCACCTAAATGGGCAGTAAAAGTAAGGAAAACCAATAAGGCAGGCAGGCAGGCAGGCAGGCACACCAACCATGGCCCTCATTAGTGGTGCAGAAAATGCCGCGTCACGATTTTCCTATTAATGGCTGGAAGCCCAGGCACATGGGCAGCACCACCATCAGCACCACAACAACAACAACAACAACAAACGATTTGCTCCCATTGAGGAAAAAACGCACGTTTTGCACTTTGCTGCAGTCGATCCGAACGAGAGTGCAGGCCAGCCACCAAGCTACACTCAGAGAAATGCGGTTGATGGGAAAAATCAAAGTATTTGAAGGCATCAGGCACTAGCCACTTAGGCCAAGGCAGGCCCATTGTGTGGGCCATTTAAGATATTAAGAGCATATGTTGTTGTTTAAGACACGTAAAATATCTCTAAATTGCAAAAAATCTAGGCGTTCACTTTCTTCCACTCATTAGAAGCATATTTAATAAAGGACTTTATCCTTTAGAAACAATTTTCTTTTGTTTCTTCCAATTTCTATATTATACATAGTTATAAACTATTCTGTGCCAAAGGCTTTAAAGCTCCGTCATACGTCATCTGCGAAACAATGTTTTGCTTACGAGAGTTGGACTTAAAATCATTTAATTGATATTTAGAAGAGTAATTTGTTTAAACAAATTTCAAACTATTGATATAGGCTAAATAGAACTATCTCAAAATGAATGCCAGATTTATCTACTCGATGGATTAGCAAGAGCTAATAATTATTCAATAAATAAAAGTTTTCGCAGACAAACCTTTTGGAACCAAAAGATAAGAGAAAATGTTTCCAAAATGAAATCTTTTGGCAAAGCATTCACAAATGGGAGCATAGGTCGAGGGGTTCACTTTTATTTGTGATCTCAATACGAGCGCCCCTATTCTGTCAGTGTAATCAGGAAACTTGCTCGTATTGCGTGTGCAAGTATCTGTAAGGTAGGTGCAACGTGACGCATGCACTTTTGTGGTGCATCGCAGCATTAATTGCCAGCACTTTATGCAGCTCTTAACTGTTTATCTCATGCTTTCTTCTCTTCTTCTATTCCTCCTTTTGTTTTTTACAGCAAGCTCATAGCGAAAAGTAAAAGTCACTCGGCTGTTGGCGGCATTCCCATTGGCATTGGCCCACAATTGCCCCCATTTGGCAGCGGCGGCTTTGTCAAGTTGCGTCATGTAGCAGCCGATGTAGCTGATAAGGCCAGCACCTCAGCAGAAGCAGCAAAAGCAGCAAAAGCAGCAGCAGCAGCAGCAGAAGAAGAAGAAGAATCGCCAACAGCTACAGATAAGAAAAATAAGAGAGAGGAAGTTGACAGAGTCGACGACGACAACAACGACAGCAATCCAACTGCATTACCCGATTTCCTGGAAGGCGGCCTGCGCCGCTGTATGACTCAGGCGAGTGCCATACTTGACCCATAAAACGTGACTTATTAACTTGACTCTTATGCAGGTCATGGGCCCCGATCAACGCACAATTTCTATAGCAAAGACTGGCTCGATCGCCGAGCGCTTGGCCGCTCTACAGAAGAGCGGCGAGGATGATTGGAAGAAGCGCGTCTCGAAGCGTGATGAAGTCGACGAAATACGCCGCGAAAACTTCGTAAATGTGAGTAACCATTGGGGTCTAACTAGTCTAGTCTTAGTGCGAGTATCTCGTAATCGGCGTCCCTTCTGCAATGTGTTCAAAAATTGCCACACGCACGCGTGTTACGCATGCGCGACTGCGGCTACTGTTGGCGGTGCTGTGGCTGTGGCTGTGGCTGCCGCGTCCACAAACCGCAACATTTCATTGTTATTTCATGTTGCTGTTGCCAATGGTGCCACAAAGAGGCGGCCAATCGGTCCACCGCTCTGTTTTCAATTGCGTGAAAATTGTTTCCTTATTGTTAATCGTTTTGTTTACAGTCGCTGTGTTTTTGTGCATTTGCCATTATTGTTTGTTTGCCAAATGCAATCAGCGTTAAGGCTGCCTGCCGGCAATGACATAAGTCAGTGAAAAGTGCAAGTAATACAAGTACATACCATATATACAGATTTATCAGATGGACTGACTTTACAAAAAAGTTTACAGCTTAACCTCAGCAATAAAGTCGTCAATTGTGTCATCAATTTTCTGTGTCCCTTTAACTTACATAACGTATACAATATGACTGTATATCGTCAAAACTTAGTTCCACTATTAATTAATAATAATTTTCAATTTATACCCCTTCCTCCTGACTAATAGTTCTGTCTTTTTCATACACAAATGATTTATTCAATTCTTAGTTTTAATCACATTGGGATGAACAAAATACATTTAGAGATAAATTAATCTGTAAACCCAAATTTTCTGTTCTGTAATTATTGATCGACTGTAGGCTCTAATTATTCGTTTTAGCAAAAATTAAAAATAATTTCCCTCACTCATCAAACCAAATCACTTATTTGTATTCTATATTCAAGAGTGTGCTGTCTTTGTCTTCTTGTGTGTGTTCCACTTTTGATTGCAATTTAAAACAATTTCTTAAACTTATAAAATATATAACCTAGATATATAAATTATACATAACTTGTATATACTTGCAAATTATTATCAATTTTTAAATTCGAAACGACATTTTCTTTCGTGCAACACAGCCAGTTTATAACGAATCGATTTAAGTGCTGCATACTTTAAGGGCTGCCTTCAAATGTAGCAGCATTCAATTGCGTAGCAATCACCTTTGTGTTGCCAGCAAAACATTGAAATGTATGCAACAACAAATTTGAAGTACATATGACTTATCAAAGCCCATGATGCACATAAAATAAGAGTTTATGATCAAAAATGTTGTATTTAGACTACTTTTTGAAACGCCTCGTATCTAAAATATATTGAATTTGTATTTGTTCAGTTTTCAGAGATGTTCGCTTATGGGCAGGCCCATAAGTTGTTGCCTAAAATGCATTATTGGTGTCAACCAAATGAACAAAGAAATTTATCGTTAAGTTATAAAAAACTTAGACAGATTAGAAGATATATACAGATTTAAATGTATGTTCACTTTACACACGTTTTCACATTCCATTAAATCTAATGGAAAATTAATATATGTGCTAAGAAGGGGAGCTACAAATTTAATTCAATTACTATTATTTCCATCCGCTTGAGAGTAATATTTTGATGTAAACGTTATAATATTCGAAATTGTTGTGGTATGAAAAAATAAAAGGAAAGGACTTTTCGCTTTCAAGAAGCAGCGGGAGAGATGGTTTCACAAGTTCTTCGTTTGTAAATCTATTTGGACAATACTTCTGCCAAACAAGCAGAGTCCATTTTCTGTAAAGTTGAATATTTATATCTTAATTAGTTTGTTGTTCGTATAGTTCGTACACTAGCAATACAAAATGCTGAAATTGTGACAGCAACCATTTGGCACTTGCTCGTACCTTCTTCAAATGGAATCCCAAGGCTGGTTGTTGCCATTTGAAACGAAAATGAAATTTTGTACGCACCCGAAATGCATGTCTGTCCATACTTTATATTCAATTTATTGCGTTCGACGGCAGCTTTTGCGGCTGTGCCCAAAAGTAAAGCCAAAAAGCAAACAAAATTTCGCTGCTACTTGTATGGGTAAGGCGACATTTCTACCAGACACTTGCAAAAAAGAGGGAGAAACGTTTTATTCTGTCTGACTGTCGCGACTGTCAATTAGCGGGCGCAAGCGTCTTAAAAAAGCTCATAGGAGATCCGATCCGTCATCCGAGTTCCGCTAGTCCAACAACAATATGTGCAGGTTTGGTGAGTCTCCCCGCTGCCCCTTCCCCGCCTTTTCCCGTTGTCTTATTAACTACTTTCGGAGCGTGATATGCGGGTAGCCATAATTTTCCAACGCCATCAATGTACAAGTAATCACATTTAATTACATGGGACGCCTGTTTGCTGCTCACTCATCAGATAGATGCCTGACGTACTTGTATTTTTATTTCTTTCTGCTACTGCTGCTGCTACTGCTGTTGTTGTTGCGATTATTATTTTATTTTTTGACTTGGAAGAAATTGAAGAAATCGTGTCAAACAGATCTGACCCACACACATATGAAATGAGTTTTAAAGTGCCTGTCTGCCTGCCAGCTTGTCTGCCTGTCTGCCCATCGTTTTGAATGTTAGTTTATTTGGTGTTTGGATGACGTTGTTGTTGGTGTTGTTGTTGTTGTTGTTGTCAGCAGCGAATTACACGCCACTTGAAGTTGTGAGCGCGAGTTTGAATTTGTTTTCTGTTAGTTTTATTTGTATTCATGTTTTGGGGCACACTTAAGCGCTTGACGCCTGCACAGTGTGCACAGTGGAACAATCGTGATGTGGCAAGTATGCAGCTTGCAGAAATCGATGGCAAGCACTTGTGATGTTTTAATTATTCAATTAACAAACAACTCGTACTGACAACTCGATCGAGGGCTTACAAAAAATGTGACTAGTAGGTTGGGTAGAAAGGCAAAACTTACTCATTCATCATACTCGTGTGGCTTAAAATCGTAAATCGGACAGCAAATAAAAATAATGTATTTCTTTATGAATTTAATTTGTCGCTTGTCGCATAAATGTGAAACAAAGGAAAAGTAAATTGTTTCTATTTTCTGAGCAGAAGTAACGTAATTATTATGGTAAGTGTCGTATAATTCCAATTCTTAGTATAAGTTGAATAAGTTTTTGTTTATTGATTAAAATATGCTTTAATAAAGAAAGAAATAGGGAGAGAACCGTTTGCAGGTCTCGATTAATTTTGTTAAATATTTATGAAAATCTGACTACAAACCGATGGACTGAAAGACTTGCAGAAAAAAAGAATTCAGCAAGGAATAGAATACTCTAAATAATTAGAAACAAATTGAGATTGAAGAAAGACTTTAAGACGTGGTCCGACTGGCAAACATTTGCACTCAAAATTATTGCATTTCACAAGTATCCGATGAATATAGTGTTCTTTCAATTAAAACCCACAAGAATTCTCTTCAATAACTTTTCAAAGACTTCATTTAAAGTACGACAGATTTGTGTGCAAATAATTTGCCTGTTCGACCACTGCACTCTTTAAACTGTACTTTAAAAAGCAATTAATTGATCGCATCTACAAGTCCATTGTTTATGCCACTGTTCTAACGAACATTAGAAGTTTGTCGCGCGCCCTTCCGCCTGATCTCGACACTTGACGCCCATAACGCACACTGATACATAAGTGGAAACCTACATACACACATAACTAGATAAAAATAAACAGTTTAAAATACTACGCGTACAATAATTTTGTACAGTTGGTGTCATTCTGCGCTCTGCTCTGTTGCGCTGCAAACCAAAACAAAAACAATCATCTGTTCATGTGCTGTTTGGCAGACAGCTACAACTTTTACAACACCTGCGCGCACACCACACGGCGTATGAGCGATATTTATGTATGTGTGTATGTATAGGAATTATCTCTGCCTCTGTAGTCTTTGTCAATGTCAACCTAAATTATGGCTGACAAAACCTTTACCCTGCACTCTACCATTTAAAATTACAATAAATTCGCAATAAAAACCTTTATAATTTAGCACAATTTATCAAGGCACGATCGCTAAAATAACAAACCCTGATGCAAAAAAAATATATATATGTACTTACTACATACATATATATATATATGCGCATAATAATGAAGAGAGCGCGCCTAGTAGTTGTGGGGGATAGGGGCGCCGGGATTGGGAGGAAGCTCGTTGGTTGGGCGCTCAGTCAGGCAGTTGCAGCTGCCAACTTCGTTTTTGCCATCATTTTCTAAAGTTGCTTGCGAGGCGAAGCTGCAGGCTGCATGCTGCAACAACAACAACAACAACAGAAATTACAACAAACGAAAATCTTTCTTTAAAAGGGAGAGAACGTTTCGCTGCCACGGTCTTCATAGTTTTGGTCCAGAGATATCGTGTGGTGGTTTGGCTTCGGCTGCTGCTGTCTGCCCACAAGCCTACACTCTAAAAAAAACCTACACCTTGTTATAATTTCGAAAGAGAATGGAATGGATTTTTACAAATGTACGAATTGATCCTTTAATGTACAGTACTTATAATAACTACCCTTTACTTAGTATAGGAAGTCATCAAGCATTAGAAAACTTGTTCAAACTAATTTGTAAGTCTGCAATTTTTGAGCCAAGAGTGAAATGTTATTATTATTATTATTATTATTATGTTATTATTATTATTATTATTCGATCAAATGCTGTGAAGCTGAATTTGATAAACTATCTCTCTCTCTCTCTCTCTATTCCAAAATCAAAAATGTTCCATTAGAAGAATCAATCGTTGGTCGACATTAGCAAAAAATACAAATTAGTTTCTTCAATTTAGAATCCATATAAGTACTACTTAAGCACTAAGTATATAGTATATTCATATATCAGATCCTCAGTTTTGCTTTAAAATATGAAAAGAGCGGAATATTCGGCACCTAATAATGCTGGGTTTGTTGTTGTGTTAATATCGTATAGAACAACAATTTTCTATCAAAAATCGTTTACAAAATAAAATGTCACTGCGTGACAAAAAAGTGTAACTTTTGTTTTGAGTGTAGCTGTCTTGTGGCTGCCTCTTTTCATTAGAGTCGTTGTTATTGTTGCATCTAAGCTGGTGCCATTGTTGTTGTTTGTTGCTGCGCTGGGCTGCAGCGCTGCCAGCATTTGATCTCTGACTTGATCTTGAACGTGCTCATCTGCCGGCCAGCGAGCCAAATAGAGGCAGCGTGAGGGAGAGGCAGACGGGCGGACACTGTGACAGCCGAGGCACGGCGTGCTGTTGTAAATTGTTTTGTAAATTTGATATACTTGCAGTTTTGTGGCGGCTCTGCTGCTACAGCCTCCCCCCTCCCCACTCACTCTCTCTCTCTCCCTCTCTCTTTTTCCGGCGCTCTCTTCATCTCTTGGACTGCCTTGCGCTTGTGTATGGTACTTCATTATGCGCCTCTTCTGTTATTTTTGTTTTGGTTGTTGTTGTTGTTGTTGGTACTGTTGTTCCTTTCGTTGTTTTTGTGCTGCTGTTGCGATTATGTTGTTGTTTTTACTTAGCTTTGTCTCTGGCGCGCCCAAGTGTGTGTGTGTGTGTGAGTGCGCGTGTGTGTGCGAGTGTGTGTCTGTGTGCGTGTAGTTGTTCATTAGCCCAATGACAGTGGCTAGTTCTTCATAAAGTTCCGCTGCCCGCCCAAGTATCTGCTGTAACTTCTCGCTTATCTCTGTCGCTGTATCTACAAGCAGAAAGTATGCGTTGCTTGTTGCCGCTCCTGCTTACTTTTTATTGCTGATTACTTTTATTGCTTCTGTGTGATTCATTATTAGCCTTCCTTCACAGTTTGTGCCACTGGCGGCGGCCAAGATAAGGTAGCGTGTCGTCTGGCTGGCAGCATTTTGCTCGATTCTGTTATATTTCGCTTGTCTGTGCTTATTGAATTTTTAGTCAATTGCATCATCATCATCATTATTGCCATTATCATCATCGTCATCAAAATATAGTAGTGAGCAGGCATCGCCTTCAAGATCGCGTGCGGCACTCTGAGGCATTGATTTATTTTTAGTTGCAACTTTTTGTGTTCGTCTTTTCTTTGTTAAGTTTCTTGTATTTTGCCTGTTAGGCCTTTTAGTGCGTTACAATCGCCTTATGTATCGCGGAGCTGAACAGTTTCAAATGCATCTGCAATGAATCATCTTCAGGAATTCGTGGGCTCGATCGCTTTCTGGCTCGTTCGCTCGCTGACCCTTCCACATTTAACTTGAACTTGTCTTGCGACGGTTTTAAAATCCAAAATTCAGCCTCAGACACCAAATTCAAACACACTCTGCTCTGCACACTTCAGCAGTGCTTGCTGCAACTTTGCAACATGCTTTGCGTCGACAATCTCGTTTATTACGTTTAGCTTAATTTAAGACGCCTCCTTCCTTCTCCCAATCTCCAAAGCAACAACGACACTGTGAATGCTCTGCCGCGGCTGACGTTGCCAATGACGTTTTTTAATGCCTGAACGCAGATGCAGTTGCGACGTCACAGCATCCAACAGTGGAGCATTTTTAAGCAAAAAGTGAGATAGGCTTTATAGTGTGAGATTGAATATTTTTATTTTTTTTTTAGAAAGTTTATTATCTAATAGCTGTTTGTTATTATCTCATAAACTTTGTTTAAAAATAAGTTTTACTACGGTGCTTTAATTAGTACTATATATTTAGACATGTATTAAAAAAAATTCCATTTTAAATTTAAAACTGCTTTATTGTGACTCTTTTATGAAATGGAACTAAATTATTTGAGAACTCACCAAAAAAAGGGTACATTTGTAAATCATTAAATTGGGCTGATATATCTTTTGTTGGAAGATACAAGAATTTTTAAAAACAGACCAGAATTTAAAAAGAAAATGTGTATTGAAGATGCACGTTTTAAAATCATAACCGACGTTCGTTTCTGAATCATTTCCTTGATTCAAGACACAAACATCTATCAAAAACCATTATTACAAGTAGTTTAAATATTTCGAACTGTGCGATGACTAAGTACCACTGTGCGTTGCAACGCTCTCTCAAAAGTCCAAGCCGGCTTTTGCCGCGGCACGTCTCCAATTGAAATTTATGGTTGAGCTACACTGCGCCGTACAGTGCGAGGCGCGACTTCGAGGCGTGCGGATCGTTTGGTGGCTTGTTAGTTGCTTTTTTTCCAATTTGATTTTCGCAAAACGTTCACCTCGAAGCTATTTTGTTTTAGTGCTTTTATTAGTGTTATGGTTATTATTAGGCATTATAATTTGCTGCCGCCTGCAAATGACATCAAAAGTGATAAGCGGCGATCGAAGCAAGCTGGACGCGCGAGCCGCTCTCTATAACAGTATCTCGCTCCCTCACTCGCTCGCCCCATCGACTTGCCGTTGCATAAAAAGTAATGACAAACACTGAAGTGGCTTCCTGCCTGCCTAACTGAGGAGAAAATGTCGAAAAATGAAAGAGAGTTGCATAAACGGACGTCAGGAAGCAGTGCAATTTTTCATTTATTTATTTGCTGGCATTTGTGGCTGTGTGTGTGTGTGTGTGTGCGTGTGTGCGTGTCTTGGGCGGCAGTGCATGGAAAAGTGATTGAATAAACATAAAAATTTGAAATTGTTTTTGCAGTGACTGTTAAGTATTTCAAGGCTGGTTGTTCACACACACACACACACATACATATATACACACAATCGTGCAAGCACCTCAGCGCATTTCTTAAACATTTCTACAACTGACCGCAATCGCGCGCCCCATTACAAATGCAAATGCAAATACACCCACGCGGCTGTTAAAAATAAATACACACATACACACACACACACATATGCACAAGCAGTGTCAAAAATTCAAAACTTACAAAATGTCGCGCAAAAGATGACACCAATTCAAGAGTGGGCCAAAGCAACAATTAGCCACAAATTGAAATAAATCTCAGAGTGGCGGCTGCAGGCGATGTTCGTTCCACATGCAAATACTTGTACACTCTAGACCGATTCGTGTTCTATTTGCATATTTACGTGTCATGTTTGCATAATTCGCAGGCCCCTCTCCTAGAGTGTGCTCTGAAAATGGGGAGAAGGGGCGACCTTATCGAAATGTGTCGTGCATTGTGGAACAATTGGAAATATTTGCGCAATATCGCAATGGAAACATTTCGAGATTACTGTTCACCACGTACGCAAGCTCTAAATGGAAAATATCAATTGTTGACTCCTGGCTGAAAGCAAACAGTTTCATTGGGTTGTGTATTTTCAGAAATTGAATGTGAAATGTTCTAAATAATTATCCAGCAACACTTATTAGTTTGATTCTATTTACAACCAAAAAGTCTGCTCTTAACTGTTAGCGTTTTCCTTCGGAATTCGAATAGTTGTACCTTCAAACAATTAATAAAAAGAAAGACTGAACCTATAATTGGAATTGTTGATAATTCACAATATTTCTAAAAATATATTACATTTCTCAAAACTTACCTCAGTATTGAAGCGTCAACTTATTATGAAGATCTAAATATAATATTAATATAAACTGCAGGATTGTGTATTATAATATTTGTTTTTAATTTCTTTCTCAAATCTCAATAATATTGAATTGAGTATTGAGTCGTTGAAGTCTTTTACTTCACTTGGCTTGGATGAAAAATCAGCAATAGTTTTATTAAAATGCTTATATGCTATACACAGTTCCTTTGTTGATGTCTTTCAACTCTAAAAAGAGCTTTAATCGACTATAGTTAGTTAGTTTTGTTCGAGTACATGTATATACATATATATGTACATACATATGATCTTCCATTCCATACTGAAGCCACAGCTCAATAGAAGAGAATGTTTCTAATCACAAAAATTAGCACGGCGTAAACGAATTTGCAACCAAGATACTCCCTTTCTCAGATACACATATTTCTGTATGTACATTTTTATGGCCACATCAGCTTATCAAAATGTCAATAAAATACAACTTGACCAAAGCAGTGCAGCCATAATAACAACAACAACAACAACAACGACGACGACTTGAAAACAAACTCTCTGCGCAAGTGCAGCAGCCGCATGAACATGATATAAAAATGCAAAAAGCAAACCGACAGCTTCCTTCTGTTTTTTGCACAGAAAATCAAAAAGAAGCAGGCAAAACTTAACGAAACGATACAGGCCAAGCAGCACGCGCGTTAGAGAGAGAGAGAGAGGGGGAGAGCGAGCCGTACTACTGCGTGAGAGCTTGGCGCAGCTTTCGTTAAGTGGCGCGCTCAGCTGCTTGCTTTTTCCCGACACAGTTGTTGGCGACACTGTCAGTTAAGTTTAAGACGACGACCGAGAGGGAACGACGACCGTGCGCGCAACGGAATAAAAAACGCGCCTTGCAAAGCCCAACAACAACTACAAATATAAAAAGAGCCCAATGCAAATAAATAAAATTGTAAAATAAATAACTAAATGGAAGCCCGCGATATCAAGTGTCATGATACATATGTAGATAAAAATATGAAAATATAAATAAATTTGCAAATCTTTTGTGTTGAGCACAAAACAAATGCAGAGCTGGCCGGCGCCTTATGCAAGGTGTGTGTGTGTGTGTGTGTGTGTGTGTGTGTGTGTGTGTGTGTGTGTGTGAATGAGTGTATGTGTGTGTGTGTGAGCAGCACAGTGAAATATTTAATAAAAACTTAAAATACAGGTGATAATTTGGCAGTGTCGAATATTTCACTGTGCGGCGCACAAATGCCACAAATACTTGTGATGAGAGAAAATAATTAAAATGTATCCTTGCTATTTATTGTTGTTGTTGTTGCATGCAGAGCCAGTGGCGTGATGTCAATATTCCTTATCTAAATTGAAAACTGATAGCGGCGAAAGAATTCGCGAACGGCAAATGAAACAAGTCGATGAACAACAAACAACATAAACGAAAGTCAATTGCAATTGTCGAGCAATAAATTGTGATACAAACAGCAACAAAAACAGTAAGAACAGTAAGAAAAAGAAAACCAACAACAGCAGTAACAGCAACTAAAGAACAACTGTCATAACCACAGGAACAATTGATAAACAGTAGAAGCAACATTCAAACGGACGCCGACCATCATGGCCGACTATATGGCCTATCTGGAAACAGGCTGGGAGAATCTGCCCTACCTGATCATCGCCTACGTCCTGCTAACCCTGTTGCCCAAGTCCTTCCTGCGCATGAAGCGCTTCGCGGATGCAGATTACGAAGTCAATCGCCACAAATACCATCGCTGCTATGGTCCGGAGGTCTGCTGTCATGTCAAGGAGGCGACAGCGGCGGCGCAGGCTCTGCCGGGCAAGTCCAAGGCACGCAAGCCCGTGACACGCGTCTACCCGAAGCGCCAGCAATCGGTGCGTGAGGAGGCCCTCGTGCCCGTGGCAGCCGCAGCGCCCGTGAAGCGCAGCAATGTGACAAAAATCGCACGCATGTTCGAGACGGGCGCCACACGGCAGGTGAACCGCGTCTCGCCCACCCTGAGCCACTTTACGATGCCGGAGATACGGATGTTCGGTGCCAGCGGGGAGTCCGCGGAGTCCACACCCTGTGGCTCACGAAAAGGCAGCATTGCCACCCAGCTCTCCAGGCAGCTGCAGAACATCGAACAGCCGATGCATCTGTGGCATGAGCTGGATGAGGATAAGCAGGAGCAGAGGAAGGAGCTGGGCGGGCGCAACGATTGGCACAGCGAGCCCGTCTCCGCCATGCCTGTGAAGCGACGCACGCGCGGCACCTCTGCCACGCCCTCAACTGCTTCGCCCCTATCCTCGTCCCCGGAGCCCGCCTCGCCCGTCCTCTTGCGCCAGCCACTCGCCCTGTGTCTCAAGTCCAGCATGGAGGACATTTTCCAGGCGATCGCACGCAGCGCCGAGCAGGAGGAGCCTCTATTCGCCGACTGCAACAGCTTGGCGCCCGTCACCTGCATCGACGACATCATCTCGGAGCGACGCTTTTCCAGACCCCTGTCCGCCTACTCCATCACGGATCTGCTCAACGAGGAGCAGGCGGCGGGTGTGGAGGAGGCCACCTATGTGAACGACACGCTCCAGGAGCAGGCAATAGCAATAAGTTGAGGCCCAGCGGCAGACTGAAGTTTTAAGACCAGTAGTAAGGCAATAAGATCTGTAGAATTACGAAGGGGCGTGACTCCAAAATCAAAGGACTGGGCCAGAGATGAAATGGATTCAATTCTCCGATATATAATTGCTTTCTCTAAGCAGAATTGTTGAATACTTAGGATAGAGCAAGTCTCCAGAATTTTTCCTGATTTGTGGAATTTATTTCCAATGGAATTGATGAATAGCTGAGAACAGATAAATAAATTTAAATTTTGTGGACTAGTTAATACTTGTACAAGCTCTATAGTCTGAAATATCGTGTGATGTTTTCTTGGAATGTTAGTAGAAGTAATTGGAATGCTAGTAGATAGGCCTATTTCAAACGAATTCCTTGCATAGTTCAATCAATTTGTATTCGTCACTAGTTACTACTAGCCCATAGAGAACTGGAGACGTAAACCTCAACTAGACCGAAACCATGCAGCATCCTCAGGAAGCACGGCCCTATGTCCCACCTAAATCGCCAGAGTCAGTCAATCGCTGTGTCAGTCAGTCAGTAAGTCAGTCGTTCAGTCGTTCAGTCTAACAGTTAGTAGCGTGCCATGTCTGAGTCACTAGCACACTTACATACATACATATCAGTGTATATTTATGTATGTACTTGTATATAGTATACTATATACTGCCAGGCAGGCCTCTCAAGCCTCAGACACTCAGTCAATCAGTCGCTCATTCAGATGCGGAAGACTCCTCGACGCTTGCCTTTTGTTTTGCCTTCAGCTCACAAATGCAAATGAGTCAGTCACACACACATACACATACACACATACATGAATAAGTACATATAGAAAACTTATATAGACTGCGCAATGAAGTGAAATGTTTAATATAGCACTGTAATCTCTAGAGTTTATTTTGTTTGGAGATTAGTATTGAAGGAGGCCTCTCTGTCTCCCCGACTTTGCCAGTTTGCTGTTCCCTATGAACCCAATTTATTAAGCACTTGGGCATATTTATTTGTTTAATTTGAGGAAAGCTTAAACAAATTAAAATACCAACAATATGATTGTACTTACAACTAAATTACTTGCAATGTAATTTAATTACGCAAAACACTAAAAATGCAAAACTCAAAATCGAGCAGGAGCTCAAATGAAAGAATAATGTTCGAAGGCCAAGCAACAACGACTAACAAACGACTAAGCCCCATTGTATATATTAACTAATTGATATACGTACATACTATATTTAAATAGAAATATTTGATGTAACCTTATGAATTTGTAGTATTATCTGTCTAATGTTTGTAAGTTTGTAAAACTAAAAAATAAATCCCGCATTTTGTTAAAGCGAACAATCTTTCAGTCGACTCTACGCCAGAGACCTGCCTCGCCCCGCCTCGCCCCGCCCCGCCCGTCAGGCGATCTGTTAATGCACATTACGAGTGTTGCACATGCAATTTTATTTTTCGTATTGATAAAAGTTTATTTATGGCTTTATTTTCTGCGCCTTTTTCGCGCAAATTCATGTGCAGCTGTTTAGGTAATTTGTTTAAATTGCCTTTTGTTTTGTTGTTCCTCTGTGCCTCTACGGGTATTTGTGTTTACATTGACGCAACTGTGCAAATGGCATTAACAGCCCCGCCAGAGAGCCAATGCGCCACAGTTCATATACAACACTCAGGACGGAGATCACTGCTGGGGCAACGGAAGAAATGCAGGTGAACAAAGGAATCTGGACACATGCCACCAACTAATTGTTCGTCGGCTGATAAACAAATAGCACAAAGGTGGATTCGTGGATGTTATAAGTACAATGTTATGGTTCAAAGAAAACAAAAACAAAATCTTGCTATTTATTGAATATAGGCGGACGCGTCTACCAAGTTCTGTAACTCTAGCTGTGGTACCCATCGAGTTATTGGCGTTCATACAGACAAACATAGTGGCAAACGCACATAGAATTCGTTTTGACTGCTCATTCTTGGCCACCTTCTCTTGAAGTGATAAATAAATGTAATCTTTATCTTCATATACTACCTATATTAGTGATATTAGTCCAAAAAGAAATTCTAATTTAAGGGAATGCTCAGTTTGTCTGTGAAGTCTTCTGAATGTTGGCAATTTTCTTAAAACTTTTGATTTTTCATTTGCCCTAAATATGTTGAAGAGATCGATGTGTAGAGTATAACAAAAATCGATCGATTGACAACGAATATTGCGATCAATTGCTTGCGTCAATATCGATACAACGATAACGATATTTCCCATCAGAGGTGAATTTTAAAAAATAATTCCGAAGCCAACAACGCTGCTATATTTGCACAAATGTTCAAATATTTTGAAATTGGTTGCTTTTCAATGATTTCCACTGTACTTGCACTCATCGTTTCTCGAAAGTGTCGAACAAGTCGCGCTCCCCCGTCGTCCACCTGCCCGGCAATCTGTCATCACAATCCAATGGCTCGATCTGGCGGCTAATATCCATTAATTATGATGAGCAAAAACCAAAAATAAAATTGAAAAATATACATACTCGAGTTGTTGTGGCAGCAACGAAATTGTTTTGATGAGGCAATTTCTCAGATGCGGTTTTTGATTGATTCGCTTGATTTGGCTTCCACGCGCAGATGCTATTGTGGTCATACCATGATGCAAGGTGTAAGGATTGGAAGTGCCAATTTCTCCTTGTGTGCGAGAAAAGTAGCAGCAAAAACCCCATATACTATTTACGAGTATGTGAATGTGTATTTGAGCCGCATTGCAGCAGGTCAGTATTTGTTATTTGCTCATCAGTTTGGAGCGGCACTTAACAGAAGTACAAAGCTAACAAGCTTTAATTTAAAGGGTTTCGTAAGCGACCTCAACACACCCCGCTGCGCAGTAAAAGTACAGTAAACACAAAACTGTTGACAGTTCTCTTCAACAATTAGGCTCCCTTGTGAAGCTTCTGTAAAATAGATGCGTCGAGTGCAAAATGCCAATGAACTTTGACCGATGGCTGCCTATGTTGCAATCACAACTGCCGCAGCAGCAGCAGCAGCAGCAGCAGCCACAACAACAACAGTAGCAACAAAGGCCAATCAACTTATCAAAGAAGCAGCAGCCAGTCTCTCCAAACTCACTGGAAATATGGACTCGAAGTGGCAAACCGTTGCTCGATAATACAATTCTATAGGCGCTCTTCAAAAACATCATTTCCGTTTCAATACAGTGAAACCCCTCTTGGCCGGACATTCACCGGTCCACCCATGGGAAAAAAGAATACTTTAGAAGTAGTGTAAGCCTAAGCGAGGTGCCCGTTAAAAGAGTTTTCACTGTATACATAAAACAATCTTAACTGACAGATTAATGGCGAACGGTAAGAAAGTTCCTTTCACAAGTTTCCTTGGGACCTTGAACTCCAAACAGTGCTGTCATTTTCGCTTTTTTTCCCGCTAGATCTGGCTCTAAAATGGCGGATTGCGGGAATTCCAGCTTGATAAAAATTATTTAGCCTTTTTCTAGCTTTACTTTATATTTCACCATGAATTTGTTCCCTTATCCCTTATTATATAAGCAGTGATAAACGACTTTCGATAAGAAAATCTATCAAAATCACCGCCAGGCTCGAGCATAGGCCGTTTTTTTTTCTTCGCTACGTTAAGATATGTCTAAAGTGTAAAAACAAAGGAGCGGGTCTTCAGCCAGGTGAACTTAGTTAAATCCAAATTAAGAAATGAGATGCATTTAAATACGCTTAACTCTATTTTAAGCGTAATTTATGTTTTTTGTAAGCAAAATAAACCGTATTCATAATTATATTAATTAATTTTCAATTTAAGATACGGACTTAATCGTAACAATACTTTGAACAACTGTGGAATTTTGAGCTTGATTTTAATGTGAATTTTCTATTATTCTTTTTTTACAAGAATCTCATATTATTATTATAAATTGTGAATTAAGAATATAGAATTAATATGAAAACTTAAAAACAGATATTTCCTTACATTTAACCAAGAAAATAGGGTTTTTAAAGCCGGCTTGTTTTTTAGCTTATTTTGCCTTGGATTTAGCTTTATTTTTTTTTTTTGGCAATCTAGCTGTTTTTGCTCAAAAAATTATGACAGCACTGGCTAACGGTACGAAATTTCCTTTCTCTAAAGGGAACTTGAACTCCAAAAGAGGGAAACAGGCGTCAACAAATCTGCGTTTCTCCAAAGCATCTTTCTTGAGCCTGATTTCTTGTATTAATTAATTACAGTACATAATGTTAATAAAGGAATGAAAACAGCGTGTCTTAAAGGCATACTTGCTAGTATGTATTCATTAGTAGATGTGGCTTCTTCACACTTATGAGTGGTTCGATGTTCCGCTGCGTCAAACCACCAATTAGTTCAGTGAAGTTGATTTTGCAAAACTCATCGGATGGCCAATACCACATCTATTTTGGCCAAATGCCCATTTTGTGCTCAGTCTTTGAGGCCCACACACACTCTTGAACTTGACATGATTGGAAAAAATACTTACAAATAAATGGCCAGCAGCGATGTCCAAAGAGGGGGACTTCAGCAAAAATCCGCTAAAGCGCGCAAAATTCCATCGAGGCATGCTAATTTTGGCAATTTTCGATTGAATCTTTTTGTTTTTTTTTTTCAGTAGTTTTAGTTGTGCTTGTCACAACAACAACAATGACAACAACAACAACAGTAAAACACTAAAATCAAATGTCAATAAAGACGCAAATGGCCAAAAACAAAATTGAAGACAACAAAAACGACGGCGTTAAATTAAACATCGTATTTAATAATAAATTGGCATTTTGTATTTGAATGCTGGCGTCATGTTTGTGATCCCAACAACAACAACTACAACAAATTCACCTTTTCGGGCTGCCTTTTCATTGCTGTTTCATTATTATTGTTGTTGTTGTTGTTGCTGTTGCTGAAAATTCAAGCGCTAAGTAGGTGCGTATCTTCTTTATATGCATATTTATGTATGTATGTTGTCTGTGTATGTGTATGTGTCTACCTTTGCGGTAGCTTTTACCCATTTTATGTTTTTTATCAATTCAACACGAATGATTCACTCATCCATTCACATATACAAACATATCTACATACATACAAGTATATCGTTTGTACGATTTGTGGAAGGCATTGTTGCTTCGCCAGTAGGGGCTTGCCTCGCTGCTGATAATTACCGCGTATGACACACAATTTGCCTTTCAAGAGAATTTCATTTGTCCATTTTATTTTGTTTTTTCAGAGCAAGGCTACGAAGTATTTACTCATCGTTGACAATGCTACAAGAAATAAAAAAAACATTGTTTACTTTATTAAAACAGTTAAAACGATTGCGTACTTCGATCAGAGACCAACAACTTTTGATGGCAAAGCAATTTGTTAGATACAAGTAGAATGCGAATAGACAGTTCTGATCGCTATCCTCTCAACTATTAACAATATAAACACACGGCTCTAATTAAATTTCCCAGAATAAGGACTGAGTGATTATTTAGCTATATGTTACAGTACGGTGTAGATTAAAGGATCTGATCTCCTGCTAAGTTCCTTCACTCAGATCCTTTTTAGAGTTATTATACTATATTGTTATTTAAATTGCATTTCCTCTTCACGTTGCCATTGCAAATAGTATGCTTTTTTTCCAATCGAATATTATCGAATCCCTTCAATATTAACAGATTTGTCTTAAACCATACAAAATCTGAGTTCTAATTTCATTATATTTGGCTTAAAGTTATTTAAAAACACGCTTGAAATAAATGAAATGGCTTGAAATGCATTAAATTCAAGTGATTGTCTGTTGTTAAAACGTTTTATTTTAAATACCACTATGTACATATATGTATATTCTCTTAGAATCCAGGAATGAGTCCAGTACTGACCTGACTAGGGCAGCAGAGGGTACAAATTGTGCATTGATTTCTACGAATATAATGCCTATTTTTAATATGTGCCGCCTTTATCGCCCCACTGTCAACTTACATGAATTGCTCATTCACCTTGTGTATTACAACAATAACGTAGATGCCGTAATTATAAATAATGCAAATATTGACAGTTCATTAAATGCCTGAAGAGAGCTCCATCGGGTGAAAGAGAACCGCCGGCACACAGTAGACAACGACGACTCGCTCTCCCACACTTCATTCAACGACAGTTGTGATATGTTCTTCCCATTGCTGGGCCTCTTATCTTATCTTATCTGCTCGCACGCACTCTCTCTCACTCTCTCTCTCTGTCTATTTTGCGCTCTCCTTTGACGCCTCACCTGCCAGCTGCGACGCCGACTTAACGCGCAATTGTCGCAATGCAAGGCACTTCCACAATATCAGTCGTCATCTTAACAGTGCTTGGTTAACAGTCGGCGATCCATTGAGCGAGCTCGTTTGTCTGTCTGTGTGTCTGTTTGTTTGATGTTGTCATTGAATAAATGATTCGGATTTTGATTTCGAGTCTGGGAAGCGATTGTGATTGCAAATTACGGCTGGCAGCTGCAAATGCAGCTGACTAGAAGGGAAATACTTGTACTAAGCAAATAGTTGAAATTGAAAAGTGCGCCAATATGCGCAAAGTGGAACTGGTAAGACGCTTTGTATAGTAATAGTAATATTTGGTGGCCATGACTCATAAAACTAACCCGCGCACAATGTGGCCAAGAAAGCCTGTTAATTGGAAAATACCAATAAATCCCCGATAAGAGAAATTTTAAATATAGATTGCTTTCAAAAATGTAGGATTCTAAAGAAATCGGTCACTAAGGTTCATGGGAAATAATAATAGTTTTCAATTTAGCAACGAACAATAACAACAATAACAATAACATAAAACTAACCCGCGCACAATATGGCCAAGAAAGCCTGTTAATTGGAAAATACCAATAAATCCCCGATAAGAGAAATTTATAACCTTTTCGAGGTCGTGGCTAACTGGGGTTCACTTATTCCCCCGCAACCCAAACTAATATTGATTCTGAAGAATGCTTTTCAAGAATTCAAAATATAGCTTGCTATCAAAAATGTAGGATTCCAAATAAATCGGCCACTAAGGTTCATGGGAAATAATAATTGTTTTGAATTTAGCAACGAACAATAAGTAAGTCTTTCTAAATATTTATTCTGCCTTTATCGACAGCCAATGGATGTCGGCTTGAGAGTTATAATAAATAATTTGCACACTGGCCTATTTTATTTGACAATTAAGCTTTGCAACGCATTTCCCATTGTTGAATTAATCTGCCAATTTTTGGGCAAATTTTATTGCAGATATTTTACGATAGCAAATAAATTAATAAACACAAAAGAGGAAAGACTATAAAAACATTGCGCATATGAAATAATGTTTTGTTTCTTTCAACGACTATCTTGGCCCATGGTGTCACTTCTATCGACCACCTTTCACACGAAAACAGCAAAAACCATAGGACAACAATAACAACAACAACTGCAAACAACTTGGAGCTGTAAATGGTTTGATTGATGACCATATTTGTAGCTGTTTGGCATTTGAGAAAGATTCGCTTTGATTTTTAATTTCTTCTTAAACATGAAACTTGAGTTTTCGTATTTGGTGTTAAAGCGTGGGCGAGCTTTAACGATAAACGAGTAGGCGCCATTCCCTTCCCTTCCCTTTCCTGCCCGTAGCTTCCCTTGAAGTCGAATTGAAAATAATTGCTATTTGTTCTCTATTTACAGGAGTCGCTGTCTCTGGCGCATTCGCTGTCGGACAAGCCGCTCCCTCCCTCGCCTCTGATCTCGAGCATCGAAGGAGGCAAGGTAGCCGAGCGTTTGGGCAAACTCAAATCCAATTCAGAGAACTGGAAACAGCGCATAGGTATGTCCCTCCTCAAATTCGAAGTCTATCGAATCCTCTAACTTGCCACTTTTGCAGAACAAACCGATGCCAACAAATTCACAGTCGCTGGCCGACTGCAGAAGAAGGCGCAATCTCCAGTGGAGCTGCAATTCGAGCGCTCGCCGAACGATGCGGCCAAAAGGTGTCCCATGCTGGAGGTGCGCAGTGCCAACCAACCCCAACTGGGCCTGGCCAAAAGCCCCTCCATGATGGTGACCCCCTCGACGACCACTCCGAGTGGCAAATTCACGCAGCGAAGTCTCAGCATCAACGCCGAGGAGACGGCCAGCCAGTCGAGCAGCAGCTCCGACTCGGATGGCGAGCGTGCTCCGCACAATGCCAAGCACCACAAGGAGCAGGCGAACAACAAGAGTGCCGCCGCCCCCACCAATGTAGGTGCCTGTATTTCGGTGCCCTGCCTGGACGATGAGGAAACCTTCAAGAACTTCTTCGCCCAGCAAACAAAGCCAGTCGGTGCAGCCACCACTGGCGCCGAGCTGGAGATTAGCTCCTTTGATGAAATAAAATCCACAGAGCGGTGAGTTTAAATCCAACTTGTAAGCCTTTAAGCGAAAAAACTGAAAACGGAATTGGAAATTAATCGTTTCAAATGCGGAATCGGTACAATTTGCGGGTTGATAAATATATTAAAAAATAAAAAGGCACACTTCAAAGCCAATACGAATATTATGAACTGAACTGTAAACAGACTCCAAATCGTCTCCATTTCGTCCATAGATGTTCAAATATAGAATGGAAAGGGCAACTAGTTATTGTCGCAAACGAATTCGCAAATGTTTCGATTCGAGTGCTATGTGGAAACAAAAATCGATCGACTCTAGTGTTTTATACTCATCCATTTCACTCGAAATCTTTATTTTAAATAACATTTTTAATTCAAATAAAATTCTAAATTATCTGTTTTCCCTCTTTCCATACAGCCTGGTCAGCAAACGTCACATACAGGGTCCGAAGGGTCGTCGTGCTGCCCGCAATCCTCTCAAGAGTCTGGCCGCCCGCAGCGACATTACTTCGGAATACACGGAGGTTAAGTCGGGCATAGCCGAGCGCGAAATGCGACGCCTAAAAATGGAGTCATGTGAGTTCCAAAGCTAGTTCTATCTCTTGATCAGAGCTCTCTATAATGTGCATGGTTTTCCCATCTTCCGACAGTTGGTCAGCGCGGAAATTTAGCGGCCGAGGCCATTGCTGGTCTGGCCTCCATAGAGGACTTCAAGTCCGTGGCACTGAAATCATCTGCACTGCCGCTGAATCAAATGTGGCTGCCACACAAGTCGGTGATGTTGCTGCACGTGAAGGGTCGCACCCATGTGCAGAGCCGTCTGGTCGAGCCGAGCTATAAGTCGCTGAATCGTGGCGACTGCTTCATTCTAGTCGCCGGCGATAAGCTGTTCCGGTACGTCGGCTCGTTCGCCAATGTCATTGAGATCTCGCGCAGCAAGAAAATCTGCGCCGCCATCGTGGAGAACAAGGATCTGGGCTGCACTGCCAGCCAGGAGGTAATACTGACTGACGGCAAGCTTGTGAACGAGCGCGCCTGGCGCCAGTTCTGGACGCTGCTGGACAAGCCCGAGGCGGATGTGGAGATCGCCGAGTGTGGTCATGCCGATGAGGACGATGTCTTCGAGAGCAGCCTCATCGAGACGAACAAGATCTACGAGTTCCAGGACGATGCGCTCGTCCCCCTCGAAAAGTATTGGGGCTGCATCCCAAAGGTCGACATGCTAGACACGCGCAAGGTGCTGGTTTTTGATTTCGGCAGCGAACTGTATGTGTGGAATGGCAAGAACGCCCCCTCGGACGCCAAGCGAGCGGCCATCAAGCTGGCCCAGGAGCACTTCAGTGCCGAGAATGCGGCCGACTACGCACAATGCTATCTGAATCCGATCAATTATGCGGCCATTGTGGGCAGACGGGAGTCCACAAAGTACGCCAAACGCTCCTCGCAGCGACCCGAATGGTGTGTGCTGGGAAAGATTACGCAGAACATGGAGACGGTGCTGTTCAAGGAGAAGTTCTCCGACTGGCCCGAGCTGGAGCGTGAGGACCTGGAGAAGGACTATCTGGCCAATGGTGTCCATGGAGTGCGTGCCTTGGATGGGGCCGCACTGCATAAGGGCGAGCCCTATGTGGAGCCCAATCTGGTGCTGGAGAATGCCAATTTGGGGCGCGGCAATTTCTATTACGACAACGATACGATGCGCCACTTCGACATCAACACCAAGTCCACGGATAAATGGCAAATACACGAATTCAACTTCGACAGCGCCGGCGCCCAGGCGAGCTACGGCCACTTCTACTCGACAGAGAGCTACATTATCCGCTGGATCTACCAGATATCGGTGACGGTGCGCGAGCTCAGCGGCAAGGTATCGAATCGGAGCACTGTGGGCCGCGATCGCTGCGTCTACTTCACATGGCAGGGTCAGGACTCGAGTGCGAATGAGAAGGGTGCGGCCGCACTACTCACTGTGGAGCTGGACAAGGAGAAGGGCGCCCAGGTGCGTGTGGCCCAAGGCGACGAAGGCACAGCCTTTGTGCGACTCTTCCGGCAACTCTATCAGCATCGCGGACGCAAGGAGGACTGCCTGGCTCGTCGCAAGCAATGGCGACTCTATCAGCTGCAGGGCAATGTGCCCGAAGAGACGCTTCTCAAGGAGGTGGACTGCAATGCAGAGCAGCTGCGCTCTCGCTCCTCCATGTTGCTCGTGCATGGCACCGAGGGTCAGATTATTGTCTGGCATGGATCCAAGAGCGCACAACACACGCGTGCTGTGGCCCTGGCCGCTGCACAATCTCTGGCCGAGCAACAGCCCGAGGATCTCTTCAGCAGTGCAGCAGAGGGTGCCAAGGTTGACGAACTCGAGGAGGGTGTCGAGAGCGATGCCTGCAAGAGTGCGCTCGGCCTTCTCGACTCCCAAGACTATGGCAGTCTGTTGAACTCGACCAAGTCCTACGACTACACGGCGCGCCTCTTCAACTTCAGCAGCACTCAGGGCCTCTTTAAGGCCAACGAGCTGAGCGATCCCCTGCGCTGTCAGGATCTGCACAGCCCTTATCCGTTTGCGCAAGCGCAGCTGTACAATGCCAGGCAACCCACCATCTTCCTGCTCGACGACAGTGACGAACTGTGGCTCTGGATGGGCTGGTGGCCGCTCGAGGATATCAAGAGTAAGCCTTCTTCCACACTTTTCCCCTCAATATTTAACCTCCATTTTATTCAAAGTCAACACCGAGGAGCGTGCCAGCCCCACAAACGATAATCGCGCAGGCGTTAACCGCTGGATCTCAGAACGGCGCGCGGCCCTAGAAACGGCCGTTGACTATTGGCGCGCCAAGCACGGTAAGCAGCACTGAACTCTAAATACCTTACCAACACTGGCCAACAAAAATTTCACTTGAAATAGTTTTAATTCTATGTTTTGGATTATTCTAGTCAGATCTAAGTAGTGCGAGTATACGCTGGCAATACTGCAAAAAAAAAATAGGGAGAGGCTTTACAAATATCCAAAAACAAAAACCATATCCCCTACAGCGGTGCCTTTGGGAATTCATAGTGAAGTCACACTAGCAAGTAATGCTTAATGCATTTTAAAACCATTGAAATAATGTCTCTAGAACGATAATAACACCTCAATCGTAATAGGCTTTCAGTTTTCACGTCAGATTTAGGTATTCGAAAAAATCATATCCACTCGGAGCTTCGAACGGAGCGCACACAAACAAATTTTAACCGAAATTCTTTTTTTTTTTTTTGGAAAAGTAACAAAATTCAAGTGTTTTCTCAAACCTTGCTGTCGCCTGGAAACTTAAACAGGGTATGTTTTTGATCGATCGAAGTAGTGTGGTTAGGATACCAACAAAGCCGACGATTCCAATGTTCCTAAAATTTGAAGAGAACGTTGAAATTAGAGATTTGCGTGCAGACTGTTAGTCTGTTGCAACATTTGCCTCAAAGCGATGCATGTTCTTAACCATAACTGAAGAATCAATTCAGTTTTCCAGGTTTAATATTTCGATTTTTAGTTTCACGCCAGGCCCGCCTCGATTCTCAATAGTATTGAAAAGCAGTTCTGGTGCTCTGCGCATTCACAGGAGGCTTTGATTTTCATTTCTCCACAAGCAGTCACTAAATTCAGACTCAAATTATTTAGCAACAATGGCTCGTGTCTAAAACAAAGTCAATTTCGAGTTATAGATCGGGAGTTGGGGAACCATCGCACGAGCCATGGACACGATTTGCGGCGGGGGTATGTTTAAATGTAGAATCTCTCATATGGGTTCAAAAACAAATTGAAATTAATTTGTACCATTTCTGAAGGTCATTCATTCGTAAGGACTTCATTATATCCTATCCTTAACGATCATCCGCTACATCATTTTATACACGATCTTCGAATGTTCGCTACTTCGAACTATTCTCACAATTGTTCCAACTGATTGGAAGTGGTTCTTTAGTCTGACGTGGATTGGAGACACTCAAGAACTTTTCATAAAAAAGGACTCTCTGCTGGAGGATCTGGAAACCTGCTTAAGTGGGGCAAGGCGCATCAAAAGCGTCTCTCTACGAACTCAAGCAGGTAACAGGCCTAGCGGTTCTGTATATATAGTATGCCAGATATTGCACAATCTGGTTGCAACTCAATCATTCTTCAGCCAACCCCTTCATCACAACTGAAGTCCGCTCTAAAGGACTTTATTGAATCATTGTTATTCTTTGAACATGATTATCCGGGAGAAATCATTTTCTGCCAATTCGTGGAGAAGATTCAAATGTTATCTTCTTAATTCAGCGGCATGCAATCAAAATTGTTAGAGCTCTGCACACTTGAAGAAATCGTATTGCTAATTTTCTCCAGCCGGAGACTCTTGGAGAAAGTCTGCAGTAGTTTCCAGAAATCATCCTAGGAGGAGCTGGGATCCCATTTAAGTGGAGCGAAGACGAAGAAACAAAGAGCAGCTTTAGCGGCTCAAACAAACCAAACATACAACGGGCTTAGCATTTTTTGGACATATGCAAGATGTTGCACAACTCGCGTGCAACTCAATAAATCCCATATCCTCAGATGCTTTACATCTACTTGTACAATGATCTCGATTCAAAAGTGTGTTTAAATATGTGTGTAATAAAATGGCTTACAAATACTATACATACATAATATCTATATTTTGTTGAAGACTCACTACACTTCTAGTCTACTATATATAAGAATGTTGGCCAGTGTTAGACCTTAAGTGGCGCTACTAACTCGACTGTATTTCTGAGCAGGTGATAATGAGACGGAGCCATTCCACGGCATTAAAGGCCACGTCGTTTGGGCAGGCTTGGAGCCTTTGGCATTCAAAATACTCTTCCCCGAATGGTCTGAGCGCAACGATGTCAAAGAAATCAATCTGGAGGTGAGAGCTATTTGAAGATTCTGTAAAATAAATGTGCTTCCTTTACACAATGATTGCTTTCTTATAGGACGGCCGCACGGACACGCCCACTCCCATCAGCACAATGCTCGCACAAATGACCCAAACGGAGTATCCACTGGAGGTGCTAAAGGCGCGTCCCCTGCCCGAGGGTGTGGAGCCTACGCGGCTGGAACTCTATCTGAATCCCGACGATTTCGAGCGGGCACTCGGCCTCAGCAAACACGACTTCGAGCAACTGCCCATCTGGAAGCAGACCAATCTGAAGAAGGAGCGCGGCCTCTTCTGAACCTACAATGCAACCGAATAGACTTGAACACTTACACACACAATCACATAACTTTGATAAGCACCTTTTTGTAATGAACGCCGCATTGCTTTTGCAGCGACGACCACAGAGCTATTTATATACACCTGCGCATTGTTGGTTTTACCTAAAATTCATCACCGATCTTCATATAGGGCCCCGCCATTGCTTTGACATTGAGTTAAGTTTACTTTCAGTTTCAGTTTCTTCGCGCCCGCCATACTCTCCTTCACTCTTTCGATAAATATAGTAACCATTATGTACTCCCTCTCTCTCTCTCTCTCTAACTACTTATTATATACACACACACTCTCGTCGTAGATACATACGTATACATATCTATATGATATATCTTTTTATAACATTATTATATATGGCATATATATCGAGGCCGAATATCACGATAAATATTCGCAATTGCACTGAAATATGCAAAAGAAAAGGAACAAAACAGAAAATTATTCATTATTCATCGATCTGTTTTAAATGTGTATATATTTTTATTTTCCTTGTTTGTACTTTAATTTTAATTTGTCAAATTAACAAAACTGCATTTGTTTATTTTCTGCAAGCACCAAAAAGAAGAAACGAATTGTCGTTGTATTATGATGTACCATTATTGTTTCCGTTTATGTATTTCGAAAACAATTTAGTTTTATTTAACTACTTTAGTATTTGTGTTAAATAACTTTTTAAATAAATTCTTTACAAACATAAAAAAAAACCAATAACTGCATTTTTCTTCCTCTTTAACTATGGCATTTATCCGTTTCTGGCCTTTTTTCCATGCAAAATCAATTTTCAAAACAATTTTCCGCATCAAAACAAAAAAATTGCGAGACCGACCCGACATCGAAATGGCGCAAGTTCCAGTACAAAAAGCGCGTTGCTGCTTTAAGGAAATACCAGGCGAACATAAGTCAGCAGCAAGACGCTAATTTTGTTAAAATTGCAAAAAAAGTGCTGCATCTAGGCTGAGTGGGAAATTAATTCGAATATCGCGTCGGCCTAAAAGTATGCAATACGTTTTCTTTAAGTTCTTCATGCAAAGCAAAAACAATTTCTTTGTAAAATGCTCTTCAAAACTGCTGCCTACTTTTGGGGTTAGCGTTAATTTAAGCGTGAATTACAGCTGAAAATTCTATTGCTTGCCTCCTAGGCAGTTGTGAAAAATATAAACAATGGTGGCGCTAACCATTTTTTCGAAATAAACTACCAACGAAATTTTTACAACCCTGGTAGCTGTCAAAGTGACTAGTCGACTTTTTATTGTGCGCTCCGTGAAAAATTGTAATAAATTCCTCTTTTTCAATTATTTCGCGTATAGTGCGTTAAAAAAAAAAACCACCCGGAAACCTAGTTTCACCTTGGCTTTTTGGCAATCGTTTAGTATCCTTATTTTCTTGGATTCCAATCAACAATTAATCTGCTGTATGGGGCTGCTCTGCTGACGTATACACGTCATCGGAGCAGAGACAGCCCAGAATTTTTCTTCTTTGCTTGTTTTGCAAGTCATCTTATCTCACGTAAATGAATGCTGATGAAGACTCGGCCGCTCTCGGAGCAGCTGAGGAAGTAGTCAATAAGCTGCCGAAGTACGTGGAGATGAGAAAAATTTCTGGTAAATCACCTTCGGAGCTGAGAGCAAAAATAACCAAGGACTTGCATATGTCAATGGGAAAACCATACTTAAAGCCGTCAATCTCAACCAGTAACTGGATTGCCTCAACCACTTGTACATCGACTACAAGTACCCTAACATTTTCTGTGGTGAACTCTCAATCAATGTATACTACAGTAGCGACATCAAATGGCAGTTTGTGCTCCACACCCGCCGTTGTGAGTACACCGGCTTCAATCACAAACTTAGTTGCAAATCCAACTCTGGACAAATTTTGCTCGTTTCAAATGCCAGTACCCGGTATTAATAGGAAGCGGAAAGGAGCCGTCGAGTCACTAAAATCGGCTCAAAAAAATAAGCCAACTCCTGTCAATACAACCCAGGGACAACGAACTGCGTCCTCCTCTCCGCCAGCGCTTCAAAATAATAGATTTGCAGCCCTTTCGGAAGAAGCTGATTCCATTATGGAAATGGAAGAGCCAGATTCCGAAGATCCATCGAGCCAGCAAAATGAAGCCAGCCGTTTCCAGCAGGGAAGTAGTATTCCTAAGCCTCCTGCTATATGTGTGCCACAAGTCAACAAATTGGATAAGCTGGAGGTGGCGCTCAATTCTGCTGTCTCCCCTAACGATTACGACATACGCACATCGAAATCTGGGATCTCGCGTATTTATACGAAGAATTCGAATGCGTTTCGTGCAATAATCAAATTATTGTCCAATCAAAATTGTCAATTCTGGCACCACCAGTTGAAGGAGAACAAACCCTGCAGATTGGTGCTCAGAGATATTCATCCCAATGTACCCAGGCAATTAATAGAGCGCACCTTTACCGACAAGGGCTTTACAGTTTTGAATATATATTGCCCCAGAAAACCGGACTGGCGTAACATTCAAATTAATGAGGAGGATGGTGAGGACATAAATAATGTTAAAACAAGACAAAATATGTTTTACGTTAACCTCCAGAACGCACCCAACGTTGCTGAGGCACTAAAAATAACTCAAATTGGTAGACACAGGGTTACAATATCAAAGGCCAAACAGAGTAAAGAGCTGGTACAATGCTTCAGATGCCAAGATTTCGGGCACACGAGGAACTATTGCCTTAAAAAGCCGGTTTGCGGTAAATGCTCGGGGGACCATGATACTGGCTCAAAATCATGTAACCTGAATGATAATGGGGAATTTATATGCGCTAATTGCGGCGAAGACCACATGTCGAGCTTCAGAGGCTGCAAGGTAAGAATTGATCTAGCCAAAAAACTTAAGCCAGCTGTGAGGTTGCCGAAAGATGGACTAGTTATCGGTAGCAATAGGAGTTACCCAAATAACCAAGGCACTAAAGTACAGTTTATCTCAAACTCTACTGTTAAGAGTGGCTTCTCTTATGCTGATGCAGCTAGGCCAATTGGAGAAAAACGTACCAGCGCGCCAACAAACCAAAACTCGCCCCGATCACACAGTTCCGCCGAAGATTGGCATCTAAACAACAAATTTAGTATGCTGGAAAAGGCGATTTTAGATCTAAACGCAAGAATGGATCAAATGTATAAGCTCATACAGGAAAATATGGATTCCAATAGAGCCTTCCGTGACTTGGTACAAAAACTAATATCCAAATGTTAAATCCGCTGTTAAAAATCGGATTATGGAACGCACGGGGCCTGGTCAAAAACAATGATGAACTCAGGCTTTTCCTAAGTTCAAACTCGATCGATATCATGTTAATAACCGAAACGCATATGCGTCCTGGCTTGAACGCATATTTGCCAGGATACGACCAGTACTACGCTAATCATCCTAGTGGCACCGCTAAAAGTGGTTCTGCAGTCATCATTAGATCAAGTATCGCTCATTCACAGAATGAGCCAATTCTAAAAACAAGCATCCAAGCGGCCAGCGTAACTATACCGACGAATGGTGGAAGCATCAAAGTCTCCTCCCTATATCTTCCTCCCAATGAAGCTTGGTGCAGGGCCGACTTTGATCTATTGCTTGCAACCTTAGGAGATAAGTTTATTGTAGGCGGTGATTTTAATGCAAAACACCAATGGTGGGGTAATTCCAGATCTTGCAGGCGAGGAAGGTGTTTGCAAGAGGCCATAGCTAGTACTACTTGCCAAGTTCTTGCTACTGGAGAGCCAACTTTCTACTCTTACAACACACGGCTTAACCCCTCTGCACTAGACTTCTTTATTGTCAACAGGATTGCCCTAAACAGACTCACCGTTGAAACAAAATATGAGCTCGCATCGGATCACCTTCCAGTAGTAGCGACGCTACATCATGCACCGCAATATAATCCCAAGAGGGAATATATTCTACCACCTGGCTCCCGTATTGATGTTTTTAAAGCCGATCTCGAAAGAAGAATTAACCTGAACGTCGAAATTAACAGCCCAGAGGATATCGAAGACGCGATATCAATCCTCATGAAGAACATTTCACTGGCTGCGTCTTCTGCTGCACCGAAAACTTTACGCTTGCCAACCCAACATAGTCAAGCTAGTCTACCACCAACGGCTGCTGCGCTCTTAAGCCTGAAAAGAAGAGTCAGGAAAGAATATGCAAGAACTGGAGATACTCGCATTCATCAAATCTACAAAAGACTGTCCAATCGACTGCAAAAAGAGCTTGCTAAAATCAGACAAGGCAGAATTGATGACATATTGGAAAGTGCTGGTCCAGATGCATCATTTAATTACTCGCTCTGGAAGCTTACGAGGCGATTTAAGAGGCTGGTCATCCCTAAGACTCCAATTAAGGATCCTACAGGTGGATGGAGCTACTCCAGTCAGCAGAAAGCTGAAATCTTTGCAAACAGCCTAGAGGAAAGATTTAAGCCTTTTGACTTTACAACAGCAGATAGGCGAAGGGTAGTCGAGCTTAGGCTGGAGATGCCATTCCAAATGGCCTTGCCTGCAAGCCCAGTTACACTTCAAGAAGTGGTACAGCAGATAAAAAATCTAAAGGTAAAAAAAGCGCCTGGAGAAGACCTTTTAGACAACAGGACGCTGAAACTGCTCCCCACAAGGGCTCTGCTGTATATTGTCTTGCTCATGAATAACATACTCAGGCTGAGGCACTTTCCAAACTGCTGGAAAATGGCGCTAATTACGATGATTCCAAAGCCAGAGAAACAGCATACTGAAGTAGATGGATATAGGCCGATTAGTCTGCTACCTGCCCTCGGGAAGATGATGGAACGCGTGATTCTGGACCGGATTCTCCAGCTCGAAGCCGTGACGCGCAGAATTCCAAAATGGCAATTTGGTTTTCGAAGAAGTCACGGAACACCGGAACAGCTCCACCGTGTGGTCAACTTCGCCCTGGAAGCCATGGAGCAAAAGATGTACTCAGTGGCTGTGTTTATGGATATTAAACAAGCTTTTGATAGAGTGTGGCATGATGGTCTCCTCTGCAAATTGAAAGGCATGCTAACTCCTCAATTGTTTCAACTCATCGAAAGCTTTCTAAGGGACAGAAGCTTCAGAGTTGCTGTTGATGGAGTGAAATCCACGAGGCGCTCAATTTGTGCAGGAGTGCCCCAAGGCAGTGTTCTCGGTCCTACCCTGTATACATTATTTACTGCTGATATGCCTGCACCGCAAGAGATCATTGGAGTATACGAGGATGACGCACTAATAGCTACTTACGCAGACGACACTGCGGTGCTTACCAGAAGCAGAGATATCGATGTAGCTTCGGAAGCCTTACAGCAGTATGTAAGTAGTTTCGAGAAGTGGGCTCTGAATTGGAACATTGGTATCAACGCCAGCAAGTGTGCGAATGTCACATTTACAACAAGGCCGTCGTCATGCGGAGATATCACAATGTTGGGGTCCACGCTCAGTCATACAAATTCGCACAAATATCTTGGTGTAATTCTGGACAGAAGACTCAACTTCAGCAAGCATACAACAATGGTCAAGCGATCGGTCATGGCGAAAGCCGGAAAGATGGCATGGCTGCTTGCACCATGCAACAAGCTGTCCCTGCACAGTAAGGTGACAGTATATAAGTCCATATTAAGTCCAATATGGAAGTATGCGCTACCAATTTATGGCATTGCCGCTGCTTCAAACCTAAACAAAATAAGAGTTGCGCAAGCTAAAATACTCAGAAAAATATGCAACGCTCCCTGGTATATGCGCACTAGGGACATCGAAAGAGACTTATGTGTCCCCAAGGTTGGCGATGTCATTCAAATGCACGCAAGCAATTACGAGAAGCGACTCGGCAGTCACCCCAACGCACTAGCGAGGCGGCTCCTGTCCAAACCTAAGAAGAGAAGACTGAAGAAGTGCCATCCAAAGGATCTCCCCACAAGAGCCCTTGTATAAAATACATAGTATATATCATAAAATATAATCATTTTTCATGTAAAACATTGTAAATATTGTATATATGTACATAGATATAAGTGCGTCCTATAGATGCTTACTATAGACAACTTTTGTATTCCCTAACTTTCAACTAGCTTAAGCTGCCATATTGGTAGTAGAAAACTAGTTTAATAAATTGTATATATGTAAAAAAAAAAAAAAAAGAAATTTTTACAATTGTATGTGCAATGGAAAAGGAATCAATTCATCAGAACGTTTAAGTTTTTAAATGGTTTGTACATTTTGACTAAGAAATGGTAAATTGACATTTCTAAAATGAAACTTAAACTTTTTAACCATTCATAAAAAAGATCGTATATATGTACATGTATATATGTAACTGTGTCTGTTTTTATCTAACGAATGGAAGAACGAGAAACCAAGCATGGCAGACGCTTTATACATAGTTCAATAAATGCTACGACGATGGCGAGACAGTGTTATTGTTGTAGAATAATATTATTGCGTTGCCTAATTCAACGATTTAAAATATTAAGACATCAAACTGGAATTTGATTGCTTGAATTTATAAATATTCAAGCAAATAATTCCATAATCAAGAAGCAAACTATACCTACCTTTAAATTGGTAATTTAAAATTAAGTTCTTATAGTTATAAGCATGTGTCTTGCTCACGTCTACTGACCATACGAAATATTTATAACAAAAAAAGAGTTCAAATCTCGAATATTCTGTTTATGTTGGAGAACATATTTATTGTATTATAACTTAATTACTCGTATAACCTATATTGGTATGTCTTTAAGCAGTTGTCTATTGTACTGTACAATTTAGGGTGGTCGTGGTCTGGGTCCTTTGTGCCTAAATGTAGAATAACTAGAATATTGGTAGGTAAGTGTCGAAACGCTCTTCCCCTCGTCACACTCCAGTCTTGGCTGCTTGGGTGCCTGATGGCGGCATGGCATGAATTTCTCGTATCAGTCGGGAGACGAGCTCACAACAGGCCTTCTGCCTGTTCTTGGCCACAGCCATAACCTCCTCGTGGTTGGCCTCCTGATCCCGTTTGTCATCGTATTCGATCGAGCACTTGTTGGTGATGAGACTGAAGGCGAACACCTTCATATCGCAGTGACGGGCCGTGATGACCTCGTGGACGGTGGACATGCCGACGGCGTCGACACCCATGAGCCGGAGCGCCTTCAGTTCGGCAATTGTCTCGTAGGTGGGGCCGCCCAGGCACGAGTATACGCCGACATGCATATTTGACTCGATGCCCATCGCCTTGCCAATCTCTAGGGCCTTGTTGATCAGATCTTTGTTGTAGGAGTTGACCAGAGCGGGGAACCGGGGACCGAAGCGCGGATCATTGGGTCCCTGCAGCGGCGAATTGCCGGCAAAGCCAAGCATATTGACATGGTCGTGCATCAACATAATATCGCCGACCATATACTTCGGATTAATGCCGCCCGCTGCATTCGTGGCGAACAGATACTCCACACCACAAAGCTTCATCACACGCACGGGCATCGAGCACTTGGCCAGCGGATAGCCCTCGTAGAAGTGGAATCGTCCCTGCATGGCCATAACGCAGGCACCCTCGAGGTTTCCCACAACCAGCTTTCCCGCATGTCCCTCGACCGTTGACACTGGAAAGTTGGGAATCTTCTCGTACTCGAAGACCTTCGCATCCTGTATGATGTCAGCCAGCGATCCCAATCCAGAGCCGCAAATGATGCCGATTCGGGGCCTCATGCCCGAACCCTTCACAATGAAGTCGGCGATTTCCTGAATCACCTCGTAGGGATACCTGCGGAACACAACAAGGATTACTCAGCCGCACAAAACAGTTCGAAAAGGTTACATAGTATGGTGATCGGGGTTCGTGTAGAGACAATCAAAGAGACATCAAAAGTATGGAAGAACGATCCCATCGCCTCTACACCAGACAGTGGACTGACTCACGATATGGAGACGATATCGAGATGAAGACGTACAAAAACAAACGAAAGTTGTGTAATGTCTTGTAAATTGCAGATTGCTGATTGGCATACACAGGTGAAGTGCCGGAGAATGGCGCATAATGATGATAAAGACACAACATTGTGACAAACCGGCGATCTGACAAAGTGACAAATTGACAAATTGACGAACTGACGACATGCGAACGAGTTGTGGAACATGAGAGATGAGAACAAAGACGGGGGGGTCTTTGTCGTGAAAAGAAAAACAAAAACATTGAACGGAACACGAGACAAAAAATGTTATGGAAGCTATAAGGCTACGAACGTGTCCTCCTGCATGATGCGTACGGCCCGAAATTCCTCGGGCGTTAGATAGCATTGAATTTTTTTCGCCTCATCGCTAAAAAAACGAAATAGAGATAAATGAATAAAAAACCAAAAAGTTTAAAAAAAGTAACGCTTAATTTTGATTGAAAGACTTATGCTAGCATAATCGAGCAGTGTTTGTATGAAATTTTAACTTAATAGTCATACGACAGTACTCTACTGTTCAGAAATACTTTCACATATAAAATGATTTGTGGGTCTATCCCGTCTCGCGCTTCCTGGCCGAAACAATTCCGTTTGCCGGCCCGGCTCGATTCCCAGCTATGTACGTGTATATATTTTAATCGTAAGAACAAAACATTATTTCGGGCATATGGACTGATGCATTCCATTTTGCTTTTAAATTTATGGAGCTTATCATTATTATGTCTTAACCTAATACATATAGCCACGATTAATACCTACAACAAAATAAATGGGATATAGAGGAGTTGACAAACATTGCTGTTTACTTAACTTTCAAAGTTGAAGCTGTTCGTAAATTCTCTTACTGTGTATCTTATTTTTCCACCAGAACCAGACCACACAGATCTATAATGCCTCACCGGTAGCTCAAAAAGTTCAGTTAATGGTTTTTAATGCATTCATCGTATAGTCAGGATGCCATATTTTTTCATTGCAAATTTTTTTGGATGGTCGAGTTTTTTTCGTTTATTTTTTTTTTTGGAAACTATTCCCAAAAATGGCAACAAGTCATTAATCATAAATAAATAAAATAGGGTAGAAAAAATCCCAATATCTTAAAAACAGTTTGATTCCAGAAGACTTAAAATCTTTATCCGAAAAGGGAAACCTTTTGTACCAAAATCTGCAAATTCCATGATCATGATCTCCTGATTTGTGTGGCTTTAAATCTTTTTCCGAACGGTTCTAACTTATTTCCCACTTTCTTACATTATTCCGGGCCATAATCTTTATCCTAACAGTTCCGATTGGAAAAGACAAGTCTTTTCTGATAATTTTTATGTGTTTCCCATTTTTGTGCCACAAACTGTTTGTTTATTTCTAGATTCATGATTTGTCGAATCAGGAGACTTTAACGTTTTATTGAAACAGTTCTACTTTCGATTATTGCTATATATAGTACTGGCATAAAGAAACCTTTTACGACCATTTTTATGTGTTTCCCCACTCCTGTACGACAGTCTGATTGTTAATTCCACGTTATAATCTTATCGATACATCATTATCATGAATTTTTGCAAAGTCTTGGAGCGAAGGTGAAAAAAGCACTCAAATGATACCTTTGTCTGTAATTATTGGTAAACATTATCTGAAACAATTACTGCCAATTTAGAGAGGGGCAATTAAAAAATGGTTATGATATAGCAGCCGATGCTAATCGTATGCCCCTAGCTGGAGCATAGTTGTGGCTAATACTTGTATTGTATTTTATTTATACACTGCGCGCTTGCAGTAAATAAAGTAATCTTTACAATTCAAAGCAAAGCTGCCGAAAATAAACAAATAATCAAAACTATTTATCTGTATCTGCACTTGCTTGCATTGTTTTCAAAAGTAGAGAAATATTAACACGAATGTCTAAGCCTTTCGAAAAAGGTTCCACATTTAAGCAGCATTTCTTTAAGGTAAAAGAAGTTTAATATTGAAACGAGTCTCTAAAATAATAATGGATGAACACATATCTAAAGAAATCTCCAAACGGATTTTAAAATGTGTCTGTTTCTGTTTTGCCCAAAAGGGGATGTTGCAGTCGAGCATGCCCTGACAGGTAAATACCCTATATCCTGCGTACATGTGTTGGTATCAGCTCGCATATGATATTAAACGAGCACTTTTCCTATCACATTGGATTGGTAGCGTCATAAGCAGCTGATACTAGGAAATGAAAAAGGCTGTCAGAAGTGTCGACTAAATGGGTAATGCTTCCGCAATGTTAAGAAGACCATGCTTTTATATTTCTAATGGGTGTATGGGGATAAGGGTTCACTGGATCTAAGGACAAATGGAAAGCTTCTTTGAACTGCGATATTTGTCAGAATGGCTTTTATAAAGCGGAATAGAAGACACACAAATGCTTTCTGAATACTTGAAATTGATGTTTTAATTTATTGCTAACTTTTAAAAATTAATCATAGTCTAAAGTACCCCTACAGGGTATACAATTATCATTATTGTCTCGTGCGAATCGAATCCTTTTAGAAATCAAAATGATTAAAATGAAATAACATAAGTTGAAGTATAAAGTAGGCTTCCATTCGAACAATATGACGTCAATCATACGAGTATATATGTATGTATGAAGAACATTGTAATTAAATCATTTAAATTTTGATATTTCGTTTGGCTTGAGGCAATGAACGAGCGCTTGGTTCGTCCACGTGCCGAGCGCTGGGAAATCTTGAATCGCGTTTCATCATACCGAACACTTTCAATGATAATAATGATGATAAGCCACGACTTGTTATTCAAAATCGAAACACAAATACTGTACTCGCGTATAAGGCCTAGAGTGCGTAATAAACTTTGCAGGTAGCGGGCAGCTTTACGAGTCGGCTGGCTATGCAAACTAGCTAGCCCGTTTAGATAAATCGCCATTAGCATAATTTTCGATAAACTCGAATCAGATTAGAATTTTAGCAAACATGTTAGCTTCCAAGTTGAAACTTGTTTCGCATAACGAAATGCAAGTCTGCGTTCCTATCGCTAACAAACAAAATTAGGCTTTTATGGGCTGTAGAGATAAGAAGGCCAAGACCGCGACCACCAACACGCCCGCCCCAGGTAACCAATCAGGGAGGCCCCCAACTCCCAACCCCCAACTCCGACCATCGTACTTGCATTGTGTTATCAGTTGCATAAGTAAGTCAGACGCAGACCCTTATCAGCATTGGTTGCTGTGCGCCTGTTCGCTTATTATTCCAGCCGACTGTGGCATTCGAGTGTAATGCAAGAAGCAGGCGCTTGACCGTTAAGTGTGGACGTTACCATTTCACTTCTGTACCCACTATATATGCTATATATTCCAATTCATTATATACTCTATGGGGAGGAGGGTGCATAATGATTGCGCCATGAATATTCATTCTGTGCCTGTGGCTGTGGCTGTGCCTGTGGCTGCCGCTCCTATACTTCTTAATGAACCGATTTAATGAACGTATTATTATCAGGCTGCCGAAAAGTTAAGCGGCTCTTAAACCGGCTCATATCAGCGACAAGATCAAGGGCAGGTCGTTCAAACCTACATACATACTTCATGTATGTATATGTAGCTATGTATATGGCGGCAGGGGGAATACAAAGACTCAACTGACTTACAACATGCTCTGCGGTGTGGGCACCACAGTTCGAGTATCGGGCAGATTCTTGGCCGATTTATCGCCGGCCTTGCCTTTCGGATTCGAGCAGCAGTCGCGCGAACACATAATGGGGCGAGGACAACGATCGGACGAAAGGACGAGCGTCTCAAAAAAAAATTCAACAAAACAACTAAATTTTGAACAAGTTGAATGCCAAGAAACGGAATGACAATTTAGACAAGAGCTTCGACCTTTTTCTAAAATTGATTTAAAACAAAGGATATTCTTACAGCCCCTTAATGTTTGTTCTAGTTTAAACTAGATCTAGTGAGGAACCAAAGGGGCCAGGACCTTCAAAAATGCGGTCGAACAATTCCATCTTTTATACAAATGTTACTTAATGCAGGGGGGCTGATTAATTATTTTCCGCTTTTTCTCTGGTCTTAACAATATATAGTATATAGTACTATGTATATTTGTCCGATTTTCTATAGCTCTGTACACTGCATTTAAAGAGCGGCTGAACATTGAAAAAAGAATTAATGCTAAAATAGCGTTATCCTTCCTTTAAAGAATACAAAGCAAAGTGGCAGCTAAGATTGGAAGCATTCCCAACTAAAATAAACTTTCCGTTGCTATTTCTGCACCGATCGCTCCTATGGCAGCTATATAAAATAATATATAGCTTGCTTCAAACTTGCTCTGCATATGGATTGGACAAGTCTACACGCCAACTTGAGTGTCCCTAGCCGCTGTGGTTTAAAAGTTGCTGCTGCTCAGGCCCCTCGTATAAGGGGTATTCGAAAGAGGAAGCACAATTTCTGATCAATTTTTTACCAAAACCAATCAAAATTGCTAGGCTTGTTTTGAATCTAGTGTCAGAATGCAGCGCCATTTACTTGCAATACTATCTATCCAAGCAGATGGGATAATTCAACTCGGCCAATGATCTATTTGAGAATTGGGGGGATTTGTGTTTCTCAATTGGATTTCAACTCACAGCAAGCTTTGCGGCGTCGGCACGATTTTCTCCTCATCGCTCAGGCCCTTGCCCTTCTTTTTGTCCGCGCAGGAATTGCCGGGCTTGCCCGTCTGGCCGGAACAACAGTCGCGTGAACACATTTTCCTTCTGTGGACGACGAGGAGTACGGACAAATGATGCCGAGGGGAAATTTTTTGTATATTTTGAAGAGGCCTGAACGTGTGAACTACACGACAAATTTGTAGGAATGATGACATTATGCTTGCGTGCGATTGGAATAGCTAGGACTACTGTGGGGCCCAGGAATAATGATAATAATAAAAAAACGAAAGCAATCGATTTGTGCAGGACTTGCTCGTTTTTTTTCATTCCAAATATTGATTTGGTTGGTTCTGGGGGGTTGTACAAAGGGTATACAAAGCAGGTCAAAAGCAGGTTGCAAGCATGGGAAGTAGGCAAGGACTCGGGCCAATCGAGGCGAGCGGGTGCAGCGGAAAGCGTTGGAAAGCATTGTAAGTATTTCCAATTAAAGTTGATTGAAAGCTAACGAGTTAGTGGCATGTGCTGCGGCCCTTGGGGCCTCAACTAGGGGTGTACTCTTGTATTGAATTGCGTTTCTTAGCACTTACGTCTGATTCTCTCGGGCTGTGTAGTCCGCTGGCTTGTTGCTGTGTCCATTGCTATGATTGCCATTGCTGGTCGCCACCTTTCCCGATCCCGTCATCTTTTAAAAGTCGAAAAAGTTCCTTAAAGAAGGAATCACACTTTTCTGAACTGCAAGTCTTTTGTTGCTGGAGCTTTCTTCAATATTTTGTAATCGGTTCGTTTCTGCGCGCGTCACAAGCAGCCACAAAACAAATGCAATATTGATTTATGGGAATATCTTTTGCAATCTTCTTATCTTGTTATAGCACAGTGTTTGCCTAAGAACCGAGCACCGACGCTTGCTTTAATTATTCTCGTTCCGACAACGATGTTTTCTTCGTCTTCTTCTTCGACTTTTCTGAGACACTTGTTGCTTGCTCGAACGCTCTCTGATTACTGAGTGGCCGGCAGTCAAAGGCCCGTGTTTATAAAGCTGGGCTGCACACACACACACACACACACACACACACACACACACACACACACACACACATGCATACTTATGCGATTATGTGTGATTGCTTGTGCGTTAGTGTGTGTGTGTGTGTGTGTCTAGGCTTGTGTTTCTTGGGTTACAGCGACAACCCTAGCGCCTTACTCGCATTTCTTTTATTGTTCAGCATTCAATTAAGACTGTGTATGCGCAGATACTTCAGTTGGCAAACTATATGCGAGTATATAGCAGGAGCGACAAATACCGGAATCGTTGCGCCTAACTAAATTAATTGAACAAATTTATATGTTGTTCGCGCACATATGTACATACATAGATGCTAATAAATAAATACATATACACGAGTTCGACTATTATAATGATAGATTGAATAAAACGAAACCTTATAGCACCTAAGCTGATAACGACAACTCATTCGCATTTAGTTTTATTTTTAAATTGAATTTCAAAGCGAAGAAAACACATATGAATTGAGTTTTAAAATAATTTTGCTTCCTACAAATGGGGTCACCAAATGTTTGAAACGCTTTACCCACACATAGATGGACATTAGGTATAAGTATATACATCTGATTATCATAACAATCTGTCAAGGCAAATAACCTCTGATGTCAGAGATGCTGGGGTTTTAGAATTAAAGACACAGAATGTGGAATTTGCAACCCAATATACCGGCTAGACTTTGTTAAGGGCCTAGATTTATAAGCAAACAGTCCTGAAGATAAGACAACCAATGAAATAAAACACTGATTACGGCACATTAATGCCTTTCCGCAATAACAGTGCACCTATCAACTCGACCTTGGACAACACTGCCTATAAACTAAGGCAACAATGACTAATCACCTAATCAAGAAAGCTACAACCTTAACTTTAGGCCTAAAAACTGACACCTTAAGTTATGTTCAGAAGTGCAAAAGAGTTGCACACATATTTATCGAATTTATTTATTTATCGAAGTTTTTCATGTACAACCTTCTTCAGGAATCGCTTATCAAAAATATTAATTTGCTAAATAACACAAATTTGTGTGCAAATTATTTGCATGCCTCGTCGTAGCTTTAATCGAGTTTTCTTAACGCCACTACAAATATTTTGTTGTATATTTTTTAAGCTGCTGTTTTCTTTTTGTTTTATGACTCACGACTAACATTTTGCCAATTTCCATTCGAAGCATTAACTTTGTCGTGAGTTTGATTCTCGCCATTGATAATATTTATGAATAATTAAATCCTCCTATACTCGTATCTTACACACATCTTTTGGGAGCATTGGGAGCAACGAGGAGGCGGATACTTTGGCGAAGGAAGGCACAGAACTGACCCCAGACAAGCACGAACGGCTTAGTAGATGCGAATACAAAGCTAAATTGGAAGTTGGTGGGAAAAACTGACAAGAGAAAGGAATGCAGGAACCCCAAAGAAAGGAATTCAGTCTCATAATAGGCTTACTCACAGGTCACTGCTTAGCAGCTGCCCATGTCCAGAAGCGACTGAGGCAAGGAAATGCAAGGAATCTGAATACATAAGGTAGTATACATACTTATAGCACCAATTGAGAATTATACATCGCTCTAAAGAAAATGACAATTTGTTAGGCAGGGATTGTGAAGCCCCATTTTTCCCATTGTGATAAGCTTCAATTAAATATGCTGTCCACAATGGGAAAGTTCAACTCACGCTGAAGTTCCACTTTCAGGGCCAATTATATTTAACTGGGTAAGGATTGTTACTGACTGGAAAGCTTTTCTGCTGGTTTGTTGATAAAAGGATATTGAGGATTATGTGGTTCCAATGAATAATAATTGCACACGGATTATGTTCATCTGGTTTATTGTTCATTTACAAAATTCTCCACCGTCCTTGAAGTCATGAAAAGGTATTTTTGCAGGTACGTTTTTAATTATTAATTGCCGATTAATGTTGACGGGTTGTTGTAAGTTGTTATCTAGTTTCCGTTTTAGATTTAACCAGCTAGTGTAGCGCCACAATAGGGCGGTTAGTTAATTGATAGAGTTAGGCGCTTTATCAAAGTGCTATAATGATAAAGATTCAGTGAAATGGCATCAGTTGTGCAAATCAGATTAGATCTGTAAAATAACAAAACAAGACAAAATTATCAAATTTCTGTCTTATCTAACCTTGAAATAAGAGCTAATTGGTCAGGGCAAATAGAAAACAAACAAACAAAAACATAATAGAACGTCCGATTCCTCTACTATGTATATATGTATGTATGTACAAGTACTATATATATCGGTTACCCGTTTCACTTTCCCATTATTGCACCAATATATAGCTCTTATGGCTGCTATAAACAGTTCAAAGCCACTTCATATCATGCTTTCGATATCTTTTATAAACAAACAAGTAATACAGCTAAGAATGCTTCCTTCGCCGACCCCCTCCATAAAACGATGCATCTGTGGATAACAGACTTCTTTGGTTTGCCTATCTCTCAGGGCATGTCTATATTGAACCGACTTATCATGTTGATTATATATGCATTGATATGTATGTACATACTTGTATATGTATGTACAGCTGATTGCAGTACTATAATGAGAATCAGTCTCTGATGGTGTTGCAATCTTTAATCGATCCGATCATTTTGTTAGAACAAATTTCATTCGAAATTATGTTCTATTTTGAAATCGGCAAACATTCTTTCGAAATGATTCAGATGATGAGACAAGCTTATGGTAATACAAAAAAATGGAAATCGTGGCCGAGTCCATGAGTGGTACAGGCGATTCAAGAATAGTCGTAATAATTGGATTTACAACGAACATATTTGCCGTGGAAAAAGTACGTGGATTTCTTCAAAATCTGCCAAAATCATCGGTGAAAATAATTTACATTTAAATGAATGTATCAAAATGGACGTTAAAAGAGCACGATGTTGATTTGTTTTTACGATTGGAAGAAATCTAGAATTTGTTTCACCTGGCAAACCGGTTAATGCAATGTTTCAAGACGTTTCATGAAGAAGGAAGTTGGCGAAGTTCTCATCAAATCTGATCAAATCGCTGGCGAAAATCGCATTCTATTTTACAAACAAGTTAGGTGTATGCGACTATTGTCTTTTTTATAAAATTGCACCTTCCAATGAAAGGAAAGCTTTACACACATGTACAGAGTATTTTATAGTCGGGACAGCCGACTTTAACTTCTCTACTTGTTTTTTTCCTGTGAATACAAGTAAACATTTCACTCAATGCAGTCCATTTTCCCTCCACTGGACGAGTAGCAGCAAGTGCGAAATGATAAAACATATATATGTGTGTATATATATTATTATACATATTTTTAAATCAGGTTAGTAACAATAATTCAAAGAAATGCATTGTTATGTTTTCATTTTACTTTCGATAAGAATATGAATATCGAAGCTGCGGATTCCCAAAAATGTCGGTCTCCACTTACTCATCTAGCTATTAGCAAAGTTGCCATCTAAACATGGAGTTCTGGAGCACGAATGAAACCCAAAACAGTTCGATCTATCTTTAAAACTTATTACCTGTTCCTGAGATGTTAGAAACGACCAGTTTGTCAATATGGCTGCAGTGAAGATGTCGCCAGAGACCCTTTTTCTATGAATCCCATCGAAAACTTTGGATAAAGGGAACACTTTTCAAACATTTTAAGGTGAGGGAAACTACCCTTTTACCCTTATTATTATTACAGGGTGCGCCATCTTTTATGTCGGTATGTAAATATTGAATAACTTTGTCATTAGTGAACCGATTGACTTGCGTAGACAAGTGTTGAAAAATTAGTCTGAAGAAATTGTACAGAACCAAATTAAATAAAATATCTCACTTGAAAATCGGTTGTTTATTTTCAAAGATATTCAATGTTTACATACCGACATAAAAGATGGCACACCCTGTATTATTTTATTCCTTATTATTATTATTATTAATTTTTGATTCCAAAAAAACTGCATTGGATATGTTTTTGCAATTAATGCCTCTCTTTGCTTGACAACAAAATCTAAACTTGTCTGGCAAAATGAGCAAGTCAGCCGTTTCTAAGGGTTAGCTTTATAGACCTATAAATATTGCCGATAAGGCGATCGAAAGCGCATATAAATATGAATCAATTATTGGCTACGAAATACAAATATGTACATACATATATTTGTATCTCATGGAAAGCTTGCCTTGATAGACTGTCTAAAAACTAATGCAATACTTGGCAACGATTGCCTAAGCTCTAGTCGTATTTCCTTTGACGTACAATCCATTGAGCTTTTGGGATGATGTACTATTTGTATATAGGGGGAGAGATAAGCCGGCGTTATCATCGAATTATTTGTTTTCGTTCGTTGGGGGTACGCTTCGTGCGCTGAGGCTGTGTAGGCTGCTGACCCAGCGATCGTGATTTGCTTGTGACAAGCGGCTCTATTTGTCAAGTAAACAACTTTATAGCATGACTTTTCCAGGGGCATTACAATACTAGATAGATAACGATTCCAATTCACTGCTATGCTCGTGTAGTAAACATATTTGTTATTACCCTTATTGTTGAGTGGATCCAACAGTTCAGTAATCGATATATCAATCGGTTCTTAGAACTCAACATTTCCCAAATAAAAACAAACCTATTTAATTGAAAAGTAAAGCCGAACTCACCTCTGTACAAAAAACCGCGTCATCGTTGTCGAAATTTGTGGAAATTCCTCGGCTATCAAGGTTATCATAGTCGCTGCAGCACTTCTCTCTAGAACACCTGATTAATATATATATATATATATATATATACCCGCTCATATTTACATACTGTTTGTACATACCTGAATAATCGTATTAAGATCAGCCCTTATTTAGACTAGGCCACTGTTATAGGTATGTGCTGCGGCCAGAAATTGTTTTGACGAGACTGCCGAGTTAGTTACAGCTACAGGGGTTCCTGCGCAATCGTTAATTAGAA